ATCTTACTATGGGACCCTTCAGCGAACTCATGGCTTCTGGTTTTGTGTGCAAACGTTTAACATCTGGATCACTGACCCAGCGTCCGACGGTGTTAATGTCTAACTTCAATCAGTCGAGAGCGCGAGGCCAAAGTTCCTGAATTCGATTCCTACGTGGGGATCGTAGGCGCGCACTGATAGGGAGTCCCGTGCTATGACTAAACGCCCATCCAATGCTTCCAGGTTTTCAATGGTGGTCTAACGTTGATCGGTTCATAGTTTCGGTGCAACTAGAGAAATTTTGGAATCCAAGGAGCTTTGTGATTGATGTGTGGTTTATAATATGAGATTTATCAACAGTGCATACTCAATACGCTGGACAGAAGTGATACAGTTGTGTTGACACTGACTTTATAACCGCTTCCTAGTCCTTCTCACAAAACTCTAAGCGTATTCTAAAGCTAGCAACGGGATTGATAACTATTTGTTTAGCATACGACACATAATTTGTCATTTTCGTAGAGCTGTTTGGAAAATTTCTGTTGAATACTTATAGAATAAAGTATTTTCAGACTTTTTTTCAACTTCTGAATACTTTTTCGAGGAATTCTTAAGGGCTCCCATCACTTACTCATTCACTCGCTTTAAGACTTGCCCTTTCACAGCATGATCTAACAATATATAATAGATAGTGAACATTATTCGTAAAGATTATTACCATAGGATAAAATAATCATCTATTCATTATATTGTTTTGTTATTTAGTCGCAAGTTTTTACTATATCCGCTCAGGATGACTACGTACCAAGAGAAGCTGATCTCTTTCAGATTTTAATATCAACAACGGGGAATAATAAGCCTATACAAAAACATTTGTACCTACTGAGCATTAGCTAAGTGGGTAACATATCGATCATATGAAGTGAAAACTATTAGGTCCGAGCCCTAATGTGAACACCAACAAGGATCTGGAATTACATCCAGTTGATAAGTTACAAATAGGACGAGATACGTGTCCTAGATCCTAAAACTTATATTAAGGTAATTTGATTAATTAACAAATTGAATAAGCAACTGATCAATGGTACAATGTTTCTCGTACCAGTGACCGCTGATCATCTGTTTTTTACTCTACTGAAAAGCAAAGACAAGGATCCGAAGGAGCTAGAGACAAGACCATGTAAATGAAAGCAGAACAATACATTCTGACATGGGGATATTTAAAAATAAAGCCCAAATGGTACCGGCTGGTGAAGTGAAGATAAATTTCGTTTCATTTAAATCTATTCGGAATCTAAAGTTCTCCTGAAAGTCCTGTCTTCTCTGTTTCATATTAACGTGTATATCATCAACGTCGAAGTGTTGTTGTGTGTCAAACGTACAGCCTACTCCAGATTTTATTTGTTGCATTATATTAGAAGAATTCTCAATCGTTCGTAAATAGAATTTATCGAAGGCTAACTGAAAACCCAATACTTTAAACATTATTTTAAAGACAACAGATATATTGCTAATAATAATAATAAATATGCGACACTAAAGAAGAAGAATGTATCTGTAAAATCTCAGCGAATGAATTTGAAGTAAATCTAGCGTTTCGCCTGGCAATGTGGTTCAAGCTTTTTCAAGGAAATATAATTAAGCATCAAAATTATCGAATAAACAAATTAAACCATTTAAATTCTACCCTCCCAGTTGAAGGAAGAATTATGATTCCCCATGATGAAAGCCGAGATTCTTCGAAAGTCACGAGGACGATGCCCCTTCTAACAACCAGAGCAACAATTTTTATGGGTACATGGAACGTCCGGATAATATAGGAGAACGAGAGGACCAGTCAAATAACAAAGAAAATGAGGAGATACAACTTGGCGGTTCTCGGAATCAGCGAAACCTATTGGACTGAAGCTGAACAGCAAAGGTTAGGTATAGAAGAAGTGCTGCTGTACTCCGATCACGAAGAGGAAAATTCTTCACACACTCAGGGAGTTGCTCTGATGCTATCCAAAGAAGCAAGAAGTGCACTTATCGAATGGGAATTTCATGGATCCAGGATCGTCAAAGTATCCTTTAAAACAAAGAAGGAGGAAATCATAATGATTATTATCCAATGTGATGCACCCATCAATGATAGCAATTATGACGATAAAGATCAGTTCTACGATGGGCTGCAATCGATCATAGTAAAGTGCCCAAGAAGGAATCTTACCATTCAGAAGGAAGATCTAGACCCCGAAGTCGGGATGGGTATCAACAGTTATGAAGATATCATGGGACAAAATGGACTGGGAGAAAGGAACGAAAATAGGAAGAGATTTGCAAATCTATGTGCATTCAAAAAATTGGTTATAGGCGGCAAAATATTCCCACACAAAAGCATACACAAAGCTACATGGGTCTCATCGAACCACACCACGGAGAACCAGATAAATTATATGTGCATCAGTAAAAGATTCACAAGGTTAATGGAAGACGTGAGAACCAGGAGAAGAGCTAACATCGCTACAGATCATCGCTATGGAAAACCTGCAAAAGATTTAAGAAAGGAAGAACAAGAAGACAGCAATTAACAACAGCCGAACGAGAACAAAGAAAGTCAAGGCACAAGCTGAACACGCAAAAGAAAACAAGCAATTGAAGGAGAGCATTAGAGTTGACAAGCAGAAATACGTGGAAGAGCTAGCAACGACAGCGGTAAAAGTTGCAAGAGGAGAAAATATGAAACAACTATATGACACGACGAAGAAACTGACAGGGAAATATAGTAAACCAGAGAGACCGGCCAAGGAAAAAGAAAGCAAGACAATCACCGGGATTCAAGAATAGAGGAACAGATAGGTAGAACGCTTTGAAAATCTCTTCAATAGACCAGCTCCGTTGAATCCACCGGACATCGAAGCAGCACCTACAGACCTCCCTATATATGTCACGCCACCAACGACGGGATAAATCAGGGTGGCCGTCAGACAAATCAAGAACGGGAAAGTAGCAGGACCTGACAATATATCAGCCGAAGTACTAAAGTCAAACATAGAAGTAACTACAATGATGTTCCAAGTTCTATTCAAGATGATTTGGAAGGAAGAACAAGTGCCGAAAGACTGGAAAGGAGGACATCTCATCAAGATACCAAAAAAGGAGATCTGAGCAAATGTGAGAAATACAGAGGCATCAAATTACTGCCACTATCAGGAAAGATTTTCAACAGTTTTGCCGGACCGGATGAAAGACAAAGAAGACACCCAACTTAGAGACCAACAGGCCGGATTCCGTAAGGACCGAATCTCCATACTACAGATCGTCGTCGAACAATCATCTGAATGGAAATCACCACTGTACACCAACTTCCTTGACTATGAGAAAGCATTTGACAGTGTGGATGAGAGAACGTTATGGAGCTTTCTTCGACACCATAGTGTACCTAAGGGAATCGTCAACATCATCCAGAGTTCATACAACGGACTACACTGCAAAGTGGTGCATCGAGGACAGTTGACAAACGCATTCCAAGTAAGGACCGGAGTCAGATAAGACTGCAATACTATTTCCTTTTCTCTGGTGGTTAACTGGATTATGAAAACCTCGACATTTTATGGTGAGCACGGAATAAAATGGACAGGTTGGATGAAACAAGATGATTTGGACTTTGTAGATGACCTGACCATTTTATCTCTTATACATCAACAAATAGAGATGAAGATAAACAATATATCAGCAGCCTCATAAGCAGTAGGCCTCAACATACACAAGGGAACAACCAAGATCCTGAAATACATCACAGAAAACACCAATGCAATCACACTTGATGGAGAAATTCTGTAACAGGTGGAAACTGTCACGTACGTACTCGGACAGAATCATCGATGAACAAGGAGGATCCAATACAGATGTAAAGGTGAGGATTGGCAAAGTAAGGACAACATTCTCACAATTGAAGATCATATGGAACTTGAAACAACTCTCAACCAATATCAAAGTCACAATCTTCAATACGATCGTCAAGACAGTTCTATTGTACGGATCTGAAACGTGAAGAACTACCACAACTATCATCAAAATGGCACAAGTATTTATAAACAATTGTCTATGTAAGATACTCTATATCTGTTGACCGGATACCATCAGCAACAGCCTACTATGGGATAGGCCGAACCAGCTTCCAACTGAAGAGAAAATTAGTACAAGATGTTGGGAGTGGATAGAACATATATTACGGAAATCATCAAATCATCACTAGACGATCGCTAAATTGGAGCCGTGAAGGGAAACAGGAATGAGGAAGGCTTAAGAACACACGACTTCGGGACTTGGAAGCAGACATGAAAATGATGAGTAAGCAGATAAAACATAACAGAGACTGTATTGATTTCTTGACATCAGAAAGTCAATGAAAACAAAAGTATTCAACTGTGTACACTTAATCACAAAACAATTAGAATATAAAGCTCTATATAAATAACCTTACTTAGCTTATAATCTCATTCACTTTCTCTATGTTACTTACTATGTTTAGTCCTGTACAAATTAAATTGCAGATTATCATCTTCATTGAGAATGTCCCTAAGTCTGACCCATCATTAAAACGATCGATAAACATAGAAAAAAAATAAACCGATGAAATGACTGGTCTCATTTTGATTGGATCATATTCAACGACAATATTATTTTATTGTTCTACCTAAATAGTGCATATCACAATTACAATAATAAAAATATTTGCTACCATTTCTTTATCCCTCCTTTGTTGTTGCTTATTTTAAAATAAAAATACAATCCAACTACAATGTGATTCATTTTTTTACATTGTATACGCATACATTTGTATTATATATTTAGTTTACGACAGATACATTTGGTAAGTCGATTGATTTAATCAAGGTAACATTGATAATCATATCAATGAGTCATAGATCTACAATATCTATGATGATGATTGATGATGATTGATGATGATGATGATGATGATGATGATGATGATGATGATGATGATGATGATGATGATGATGATGATGATGATGATGATGATTGATGATGATGATGATGATGATGATGATGATGATGATGATGATGATGATGATGATGATGATGATGATGATGATGATGATGATGATGATGATGATGATGATGATGATGATGATGATGATGATGATGATGATGATGATGATGATGATGATGATGATGATGATGATGATGATGATGATGATGATGATGATGATGATGATGATGATGATGATGATGATGATGATGATGATGATGATGATGATGATGATGATGATGATGATGATGATGATGATGATGATGATGATGATGATGATGATGATGATGATGATGATGATGATGATGATGATGATGATGATGATGATGATGATGATGATGATGATGATGATGATGATGATGATGATGATGATGATGATGATGATGATGATGATGATGATGATGATGATGATGATGATGATGATGATGATGATGATGATGATGATGATGATGATGATGATGATGATGATGATGATGATGATGATGATGATGATGATGATGATGATGATGATGATGATGATGATGATGATGATGATGATGATGATGATGATGATGATGATGATGATGATGATGATGATGATGATGATGATGATGATGATGATGATGATGATGATGATGATGATGATGATGATGATGATGATGATGATGATGATGATGATGATGATGATGATGATGATGATGATGATGATGATGATGATGATGATGATGATGATGATGATGATGATGATGATGATGATGATGATGATGATGATGATGATGATGATGATGATGATGATGATGATGATGATGATGATGATGATGATGATGATGATGATGATGATGATGATGATGATGATGATGATGATGATGATGATGATGATGATGATGATGATGATGATGATGATGATGATGATGATGATGATGATGATGATGATGATGATGATGATGATGATGATGATGATGATGATGATGATGATGATGATGATGATGATGATGATGATGATGATGATGATGATGATGATGATGATGATGATGATGATGATGATGATGATGATGATGATGATGATGATGATGATGATGATGATGATGATGATGATGATGATGATGATGATGATGATGATGATGATGATGATGATGATGATGATGATGATGATGATGATGATGATGATGATGATGATGATGATGATGATGATGATGATGATGATGATGATGATGATGATGATGATGATGATGATGATGATGATGATGATGATGATGATGATGATGATGATGATGATGATGATGATGATGATGATGATGATGATGATGATGATGATGATGATGATGATGATGATGATGATGATGATGATGATGATGATGATGATGATGATGATGATGATGATGATGATGATGATGATGATGATGATGATGATGATGATGATGATGATGATGATGATGATGATGATGATGATGATGATGATGATGATGATGATGATGATGATGATGATGATGATGATGATGATGATGATGATGATGATGATTAATGACGGTTATTGTTAGTATTATCTTTCTGTTTCCACAAATCAATGATTTAATTGAAATAAATATTGTAAATAAATATTTGTTTAAGTTAATTTATATATTATCAACTGATGAATATCTAGAATTTCCAACTAGAAAGGAATATTCTGTGCATGGATGTCAACTGGTTAATATCAATCTATTACGATATCTGAATCTATCTTCTATACTAGTCGTAATTTGATGACAGCATAATGAATTGGTAAGATTACGATAATTGATACTTCAAATTTGGACTGGAGGTAGCTGAATGAAAAGTTTAGTCGATGGCAATCAGAAATGACCTTAACTTACTTACTTGCGCCTGTTACTTCTCGTGAAGGAACATAGGCCGCCTACCAGTACTGTCCATCCAATCCTGTCCTGGGAAGTCCTTTCCAGTTGCTACACATCATTTTCATGTCTGCTTCCAAGTCCCGAAGTCGTGTGTTCTTAAGCCTTCCTCATTCCTGTTTCCCTTCACGGCTCCAATTTAGCGATCGTCTAGTGATGATTTGATGATTTCCGTAATATATGTTCTATCCACTCCCAACATCTTGTACTAATTTTCTCTTCAGTTGGAAGCTGGTTCGGCCTATCCCATAGTAGGCTGTTGCTGATGGTATCCGGTCAACAGATATAGAGTATCTTACATAGACAATTGTTTATAAATACTTGTGCCATTTTGATGATAGTTGTGGTAGTTCTTCACGTTTCAGATCCGTACAATAGAACTGTCTTGACGATCGTATTGAAGATTGTGACTTTGATATTGGTTGAGAGTTGTTTCAAGTTCCATATGATCTTCAATTGTGAGAATGTTGTCCTTACTTTGCCAATCCTCACCTTTACATCTGTATTGGATCCTCCTTGTTCATCGATGATTCTGTCCGAGTACGTACGTGACAGTTTCCACCTGTTACAGAATTTCTCCATCACGTGTGATTGGGTTGATTGAAGTTCGAATAAGCTTAAATCTGATGAATAGTACACTAGTGTGTAAAGTGTTGATGAGACAAAATTTTGTATGAACAACCATAATCTAAATTATCAGTCAATGTAGGATAATGAGATTTAGGACTACGTTGTAACTAATAGTTGACATAGGTTAAATTATCATTTGACGATTTTAGTGCCTCATGAACAATGATCAGAGGCTGTATTAATAAGAAATTCATATCCAAAACAATTCCATTGGATTAATGAATAAATTAACTGGTAAAAAGGAATAAAAATTATGCGCGATTCATAATTTTACACAAATCACACCATTTTATTTATATCGATTGCTAATAGCAATGTAAGCTGAGTGGCGGTTAAATAATGAAGTTAATTATAAGAAACTAATGTGAAATTTCTTTTCTCGTTTAGAATTCCTGATTGGTTTAATTGATAAAATGGACCGCAGAATGTGAATTTACTAATAAATGATAGTACCTTCTGAATAAATAATAAATTAATATCAGAAGGGGTTTTGTGGAGATTGTAGTAATTTCAACAGTTGAGATTATGAGTCAATCGAAGCTAGACCACCATGGGAAACCTGGAAGCACTGAACGGTCGTTCACGAGACGGGGTCGTGGATGCGCACTGCTGGGGAGTCCCAAAATAGGTTGAAACGGCCGTCCAATGCTTCCAGGTTTTCCATGGTGGTCTAGCTTCAATTGACTCATGATCTCAACTGTTGAAATAATAAATTATTGATTGAGACTCCTAGAAGTTAATTTGGTATATGAAATTCAATTTTCCTTTTCAGAACTGATTAAATGTGGCTGTCCGTATTTCATTATCTTCATTCACTTTTACCTTGTTTTATATATACAATTCACTTTATTTCATTTGAATTTAGCCTTCCTACTACATATAATGTGGTTGTTTTGTTGAAGGTTTTTAAGAAATTTTAGTCTTTACTTCATTCTACTTAAATGCTATTTTAGTAATATATCGATGTTAAGTTAGTATTTATTATGTGACCAAATTCGTTATTACGGCATTTAGTAGTAAAAATTTATTTCTAAAACAAGAGGTTATACGAATTTTATCATGAAGATTATGGCAATGAATAGATTTGTAAATAGGTGTTCTGTTGTCAGTTTGACTACTACATTACCCCTTACATCTCGCTCCTTTTAATAATAATTTTTGTGGCACATTGTGACATAAAATGAACATAAAATGAATTCACTAGCCCGTCCATTCTTTAAATGACAAGAGGGCTGACTTGAATATCTCATTCACTATACCATCACTACACAAAATAGTAAGGTGAATGGGAAATGTTTGTTGCCACTGACAATGACCATAGTGAATGATCACTATTCGGGATTTGCACTTTGTATATATACAGATTGTTTAGTGAATTAGTGGGAATGATTAGTTTCTCGAAAATACATCAAATGTGAAATGTTTCAAGTAAATTTGGTATGTTGTAAAAGTCACTGGTGTGCTTATTAACTTATATGATTCAGCCTTCTACCCATGATGAGGCAGAGTTTACTGACTGGATTTCCACATATATGTATCTTGGATTTTCTTTTCCAGTTGACAAAAGGTGTCTATGGTTTTAATAACTGCCTCCGATTCATGGCCCCATGGGTTATCCGGTCTACCACTTCTTTTCTTTCCTTGAGGATTCCAAATTAGGGATTTTCATGTGATACATTTTTGTAGTTTCCTCAAAATTTGTTTTCTTTAAAAGACTCCTCATCTAGCAACTGGTTTGCTCGTTCCCAGAGTGAATCATACTTGATAGACCCTGGCAAATCAATATGAAATATCTTTTGTAGACAGTTGTATATAAATATCTATATATTTTTGATTATTATTATTATTATTATTATTATTATTATTATTATTATTATTATTATTATTATTATTATTATTATTATTATTATTATATTATTATTATTATTATGGTAATTCTCCATGTTCTAGCTACGTACAATAGAACTGATCTGAGATGTTAATTTAAAATTCAGAAAATACTCAAGGGTAACATTTATTTCGTTTTTCATACATGCAACAGTAGTTGGAATACTGCTCTTGACTTGCCTATTTATACCTTGATATCTGAATTAGATCCTTATTGTTTATCAGTAATGATTCTCAGGTACACAAAGGCTTATCACTTCACAGCAAACAGTCCATTAACTCAAGTTCGATTCTGTTCTCATTCTTGAGAATGATTTTAGCTTAAACTACGAATGCAGATGCAATGAGCTTAGACTTGATGCTTTATGAAAGCTAAGAATTAAACTAGATTTAATCTTTCTCAACAAAATACTACATAGATGACCCTTCACATACACTGTTGGAATTCAATATACTAAATCATCTAAAACAATAGATAAGCATGAAACTATGAAATTTAATAATACTGCAATTTACAAATACTAAAGATTCACAAAATTAGGTCTAATTTAAATTAGTATGCTGTACTCAGTATGTCTAATGTTAGATCCTTATCGTTCCCACCTTCCACTAGATCATGATTTCCAGTACTCTTCTGTTATAACTTATGAACCTGTGTGCCCTGTTTATTGTATAACGCAACGATACCGCTAATCAGGGAGCAGCGAATTATCGATCGAACCAGTAACGCATAAAACGCGTGCGAGCAGCCCGGAGTTCTTATCGGTCTCGCTTCCTGTCTAGCCCAGTCACTTAGGTCCAGAACACTAATCTCAGCCTCTGCAATATGGATCATTTATTTCAAACATACTCGATTTATATATCAACCAGACAGACCACAACGTACCATAAAATATGAAATAACATTTGTACAAGAATTAGCCAAATGTGGCTGTGAATGAGAGAGATAGTAATTAATAGACAGGCCATAACTCAAGAATGGTAAATCGTATAGTAATAGTCTATGGGTCAAATTAAAGCTTATAATAAGAGCGACATGAATATGAACAGTTAAGTTGCATAACAGTTATGCGATAAAAATATACTCAGAGTATTGGTCCATAAATGGATCCCGAAAGTCACCATTCATTATTCTTATCGGGATATAACAACTTCCATACCTACCATCTTAATTTCGTCCCCTATATTATATTCTCAGTGTTTATTCCTTCTGTTACAGTCATTTTTACTCCTTTACCAACCATTATGCGAAGTTCATTTTGTTGTGTTTGTGTGGTAATGACGACTTGGTTTAGCCGATATGTGTGCCGATCTCTAAGTTGTTTGTGATTAATCATGCACCCCAAAAGACATGTAGAAGTCAAATCGGAAGTCATAAATGGAGAGGTTCGCAAATATATTTGAAAGGCTATCGAGATATCGGGAAGTGTTTAATCTAAGCTGATTAACGGTTGTAAGAGATGAGCAGCACGGCGTATCCACTCGTGATCTGGTGAGGATGCGTGACTGAACTTCTTCGACTAGGTGTTTCAAGTAAAAGTAATGAAGTTAGCATCAAATGTTGAAGACTTATAGAACTATTTATTTTGGAGATTTATTTACCGATACATATATAATCATTGTACTCAATGACCATACTTACTAGCCTTACATTCCTGAAAGTATTTCACACTTACACTGTCCCTGATTGATTTGAATAATATAAAGAATGGCTGTCTAAATTAATGGATCATAAAACAACTTAACACTTATATGATACTGAAGTTATCACAATAATTTTTGCAGCTCTTGTTGTGTCTTCCGTATTCTCTCTTTGCTTTCTTCTGGTTTTATATGACTGCGAGAATTCCATAATGACACTAGAATTAATTTTATTCATACATCAATAGCGTGTCCTATTACTCCAACTAAGAATTAATGCATCCCAACTACTACCTTACATTATCGTGATCTTAGTAACAAGTATCTATTTGAAACAATTTATGACTGTTCCGGTCTCTCACACTATCTGGACATTCCATGTTAATCTCAATCGATAAGAGGAAATAAACCAATAAATTTTGAGTTAAACGCCTACCTCAGAAGACTCATTTATCCCAGACTGTTTATTATA